ACTCCAGTTAACCACTTTGTGCTTAAGAATAATGGGACAATGATCAGACACATCTTTGCTCAGAACCTGAATGAAACCATCTCCCTAGTAATCAAGCCAGGAACTAGAAACAAGGACTCTATCGAGTTTGCTCATCATAGAAGCATCCTTTTTTATCCATGTAAATTTTTTACCTACAAGTGGAAGATCCACAAGTTTCATTTCCTGAATGAAAGAATTTAAGCCATCCATTTCAGAGATACCATGATTTGCCTGACAACCCTTCCTCTCTTTCACCTGTCTCACAGCATTGAAGTCACCCAATATACACCACATAAATTTGCCAAAACCCCTTCTTGTTATGAGCAAATCATCCCATAACTTTTTCTTCTCACTTAGTCTACATGATGCATAGACATTCACCACAACACATAGGTTTCCAGTAGCCAATACCTGCAAGCAAACACCCAAGAATCCAGTACCATAAAAGGAGAAAAGTATTTTACCTTTGGAAGTATCCCAAAGTGAAAGCATACCTCCGCTTCTGCCAATGGAGGGCAAGACACACCAATCAAAATCTACAGAACCCCACAGACGCGCACATAAGTTACTATTACATGTCTCAAGTTTTGTTTCCTGAATCGTCAAGAACTTCAGACCTTCAGAGCGAACAATCTCAGACACATTCTTTTGCTTTACCTCGCTCCCCAGCCCTCAACAATTAAATGAGCCAATCTTTATTTAGAATCAGAGCGAACCCCATGTTCTTTCGCAATCATTCTGTCACGTACCTCCATCTTAATCAATTTCTCTCGAACCTGCCCATCGTTCCCATGTACAACCAAACCAACCTTCTTGCCAATGTCTAGTAATCTCGACGTCATTGCCTCATCATCACAATCTGTAGCAGCCATTCGCTCCCCCATCTCCACTGAAGGATTGGAAGGATGCGAGTTGTAGGAGCTCTTGGAAGCATTAGCTGAGACTTCATCAGTTAGCGATATCTGTCTACTAAGTTGCGATGGCATTGGCGCTTCTTTTCTGTGATTCCTAAGGTTGTTTTGAGGGGGTTCTATGGAAATTACGCTCTTATACCTCTTCCCTTCTTCATTACCTCGACTACCTTTCATAGAGCGTGCCCTCCGAAGGGATTCACGCACATTAACCCTATCTTTCTCAATTCTGGATTGAAAGGGGTCGATTTGTGCTGTCCCAATTGTCTTCATATCCCGTGATTCTGAATTTTTCCAAATCAATGCATCTAATTCAAACGGGTTTGATAAATTCAACGCATCTCTTACTATTAGAACTCTTCTCTCCACATTTTCAGAAGGCTCATTCACAGCATCACAGATAGCCACTGTCAAACCCATAACATCCACACCACCAGCCCCCAAACCCTCATCCACCAAGCACTCTTTTGCTGACACTTCACCCCTAATCACAGAATCGACTAGACGACCCTTAGTTCTGATATCACCTTGCAGCATATCCTCCTCCTCACGAGAATAGTTATTCAACGCTTCCAACTCTATTGAACCAACCTCAAATGAGTCATTGTCTTCCTTAGAAGAGTTAGCCACGCCTTCCTCTATTGCGGCTACTACATCACATGCATACTCTTCAAACATGGCTATTAAGTAAAACCGATCATTGACTTTCACTGTAATATTTTGCTTGATAAGCTCAGCAATGGTAATACCTAATTGTATCCTCCCATAATCTAATCGTCGCCTTTCTGCCGTGACTTGGTCTATCTGGATAAAATCACCAAGCGAAGAAACCAACTTATGAAAGAATAATTCACTCCAAGCATGCAAAGGGACCCCATAACAACATACCCAAGTCACTCTCTGCTCAGCTACCATACTTGGGTGCCACTCTCGTAGATCATAGAACTATTTCTCCCACCATAATTTGTTGAGCGATACTGTATCCTCTAAATCTACCCCCGCATCAGATTTCACCAATACCATATCATCACCCATGGTCGTGAGATTAATATCCAATATACCTTCTCGCAGGAGAGCCCCTCGCATATTTTTCAAATCTTGTTTTCTATGAAGGCAACCGACCATAACACCTCTACACTCTTCAATTCGCCCCTCATCCACCTCAAACTTAAGGTGAGCTCAAGGTTTCTTCTTTTCCACCCATTTCTGCCTTATTGGTGTCTCAACTAGACAGGGTACTTTAATCTTGTCCGCATACGTATTCCCTAATGTCTTTGTAGCTCCTATGACAAAGCAGTGTCTCGTTTCACTGCCCTCCACAGACACCTTTGGACCCACAGTTTTCTCCCTTACATGTCTCGTCAAGTTGATAGACAAGCACATTCTGCCAATAACAATAGATCTAAGCTTAGCCTCTAAACTCTTGGCATCCACCACATCCACAAAACGCACAAAACCAAAGCGACGTCCTAATTTATCACTCTTTGGAGGTATGAAAACATCAATCACCTTCTCCCACCGTTGAAATACCCGTCACAATGCTGAGACACTGGTAACAAGTGAAAAATTCGTAAAAAAAGTAAGACGTGGAATTGCTGAGAACTTTTTCAAGATGCCCACCAAATTTACCCCTTTCCCTATACCTCTGTTCTACCATTGAATTCTCCAACTTCTCTTTTGCGTTTCAAATTAAGAAGAGACAAGAAAATTAGGTGCGTCGATGAAAGACTCAAACTGATGAACAAAAAGCTACAGCTTATTCAGATTCAAATATTCTCCGATCAGCAGCGACAAAAACAATTAACACTCCTCAAACCTTCCTTTTTCTCTCTGCAACCACGTCGCCATGGCTGAGCGTCGCAGCTCCGAAGCTCTCCCAGCGGAAGCTCCGCAGCTCCATCCAAAACCAAACGATTCTCAAGATAAAGCGGTAAACACCAAGAAACGAGTCGCTGAATCGCCGTCCGCTGCTAAGTCGCAACGTAACGAGTTACCGAGTCCTAACAAACCTCGTACAAAGTCTAATTTAGAAACCCTAACTGCCGTTCCCTCTTTGGTTGAATCGTTGCCGTCGATAAAATCTTTTTCTAATAAGAACACACCTGTCTCTGTCTCCATCGATAATCGTAAGAATGGACCTTTCTTTTAGCGCGCAGAAACAACGTTAACGGCCTTGGAAAATTTCAAGCTAATCAAAGAAAGGGACGAGAAGGGGAAATTCCAAACTATCTCCAACTTGCATCGTCCAAGTACAAGATGATTGGTCTTATTTTCATGTATGAGTATTTACTCTTTTTATATATCACTCACAAGTTGTAATTTTTTAATATATATTATCTTGCAACATCTCGTATAATCTATATATTTTTAATTTAGATAAAATTTTTACATCTTATACTTAGATGTTAAACATAAATATTTATATTTTGTTAATAATTTTTATATAATAATTAAATTATTTTATATTATATTTATATATATTAAATTTCACACAATTTAAATATTTATTGATATGTTAAAAATATAATGTCTACTAAAAGAAAGTAATGCAATGAAATATCAATTAATCTATTTATATATAAAATTTAAAAAAAATTAAGTTGTTTAATAAAAACTTTTAAATTAATAATTAATTTAATTAATTTCATATTCTATAAAAAATTATTAAATTGTGTAAATATTAAGTTTAACACATAGTATCAAATTTTAATTTTTTTTTAAAAGAAAAAGTATTTAAAATTACAGGTAGAATGTAAATAATTAATTTAAATAAAAAAATATAAGTAAATCAAATTTAAAGAGAAAAATATATTTAAAAAACAAAAAATATGAATATAAACAATTAATGCTTGAAAAGAATAATATAAATAATTTTTAAAAGTAATTATTAATTTAAAATTATAAAAGTAAAATAAACAATATAAAAAGTTGGCAGACCACACTCTTGTTATTTTAAAACACATATATTTCTTTCTTAATAAATAAATATTTATTATATTTTAATTTATTTTTAATGTAAATTATCTCTTAACAAAAATTAATAATTATGAACGTATCTCTTAATGATATTTTATCCTTTTCCACAGCTTTTGATATTACCAACAACGAATTTTAAATATTTATTTATTATTAAAATTTCAAGCACTTTATAATTTGTTTTGAAAGTCTATTTAAAATAATTTTTTATTTTATAAAGTTAAAAACAGATAAATAATAAATATAAAAAGTAACCATCAATCAGGTCGATATTTACAACAAAAGAAAAATAGTTAAAAATTTTATTTCCTTAAAATAAAGATTAATATAATACATTTTTGTCTTTAAAGAGAATGGAGTATACATATACTATAAAATCAGAAATAAAAATACTATAATTTAAATATTTCTCGTAATAAATTTTACTCTTTATTTTATTACTGTGAATTCGTGATGATACAAATATTATGCTATATATCATTCATGCAATAACTTTTTTTATATAAAAGGAATAGTTAATTATTTTTATTAAAATCTTAAAATTGTTGAACAAAACTGACAGTGCTTTTGGCATATAAAATTTAGAGAAAGGAGTCACCGAAAAAAATTTGGAGAAAAAGAACAGTGCCCTAATCTAAACGAAAGAATTAGTTTATATGATTAACGAAAGATAATATTTAATTTATTTTTATTAAATTTTTAGTTTTTGGACCATTCAAATTATTCTTCATCTAAATTCATCCTCAACTTTTAACCATGAAATAAAAATTTAAAGAGTTTTCGTTATGAATAAATTGCTAAAAAGATTTAATTTAAATAAATAGGATATTAAATTTTAAACAAATAATTAAGCAACACAACCAAGACGGTGGTTAAACATAATAAAGCATAATTATTAATTTTCAATTTATGAAATAAGTTTATAAAAATGCAAGCAAAATTAGTTAACTCTTTTGGGGTAGGGCCTAGGTGGGTCGAGCAAAATTGCACGCAACTCGCCTTGGCTGCCAAGCCTAAATTGTTTTTTGTTTAACAATAAAATTGGAAAAATGAAGATTATATGGTTGAGCTTCGCCGTCGTCACTACATTAATTCACAAAATAGAGGTGCTCTTGCTTCCTTGGCAAATGAGTTTGTTGTGCATATTTCTCTTTTGACCGTTCCTAATTCCACTTCTCCTTCGCCGCCTCAAAGTCTTTGCCCTCTCTCAACTTCGATTTCGTCGAATACGATGTTATTTTCCCGGATATCAAGAAACCTCAGAGGCAGCTTCAAAGGATGTCGGTGGTTCCTCTCCCTTGGAGACCACAACTTGCATAAATTTCATTCACGTGTAGACTCTACTCAACAGGTTCTGTCTCTTTTTCTCTGAGCTTTCAGCTTTTGCTTTGTGTTGTTTTACTTCCGGGGATCCTCATTTGTCATAGTCAGATTTAATGTATCAAACTGTATTATTTTTGCTTTCGCCCCTTTTCTCCCAATTGGAAAGGTTTCAGCAATGTAGCATATGGGATCGCTGCTTTCTGAATTCTATTGATAAACACGGTTGAAGTGTATCAAATGTTTGGAGTTATGATGACAGAACCCGTGTTTTGTTGAGTTTTAATAGCGTTTCCCGGTCTTCATTGTTCGTGGTATTTTCTATCTGTAAAATTGTCTTGTTGTGAATCAATAGTTAAACATTTATAGTATGGAGATTGGTGTGTTTGGCTACAATATTTTAAGTTTAACATTTCAATGAAGTACGAACCTGTTGTGGTGAATTGTGATAGTGAAGTGGAAGCTGTTTTGTGATCACTAAGACGCCATGCTCGTTATGGAAATTTATATTTCAGTGATTAACACTAATTTATAAGTGATGAAGATTTTTGCTTTGTACTTGGTAGATGGTTTCTTCAAGGAGACGTTTGGTGGATTTAGAGGTACTAGAGAGCTCGATTGTATTAATGGTTTAGGCTCTGATTGGTGAATGTCCAAACTCTGTAATGCATGTTTTCTAAGAGACTTGTGGGGGAAGGGGAAATTTTCTCCATTGGCTGAAGCCGCTGAACATACATTGGCGTTAGTATCCAATCAGGCACTTGGTTGTGGTTGTGTTTTGCTTCTTTTTTTGGTTTGTTTTCCTGTCAAGTTGTCTAAAGAGAATTTCTTACCCTCCTGTCCTTCAGTATGTACTATTCTTTTGTTCTCATAAAATATCTTCTTTTATCTAAAGAAAATTTGTTTTGCAACTCTGAATTTTACTTGTACATGATTCCTGTGTAATGCAGATTACGAGAAGTTTAATTTTTCCAAAGGGCCTGCCATCATTGCATAGTACTAGGTATCAAATCCATCATCAAAGCAGCTCCATAGTTGAGGTTAATTTCTTTGTTTTTCTTTTTTGGTTATTCCTCTTTTTTCTGTTCACTGGTTAGAATTCCCCTTCATCATTGGCTTTTTCTGTTTCTATGGTTTTAAAGTTGTTTCATTTTTTACATGCTTTATGTTATGTCTAGAGACTAAACTCCTAAGGTAGTAGATTCTCTTACTAACAATGTAAAATTCCCTATGTAGACAAAGTTTCCCTAAATGTTAGTGCATTTATGTTTTGTGCTCACATGTATATTTATTCAGAGGAAATATGCAATACCATTGTAAAGAATACAAATTACATTATTTATCCATTAAGTTATTCCCAAACTATTCTTTGGAACAACTTGACATTTTTAATTTTTGACTAGTACTGATAGATACAAAATAATTTTTATTTTTTTTATGACTCTTATCTGTGTTTTTCAATTATTTTTCTAAAACTAATTCTCCATTATGATACATGTCCTGTTCTCAGGATGAACTTGATCCATTTTCTCTAGTTGCTGATGAACTATCACTTCTTGGTAACAAGCTGCGAGCAATGGTAGTTGCTGAGGTATCAGATTGTTCTTCATTTACTCTCTAATCTATGCAGTGAATCAATAGCTCAGTCTTGACTTATTTGCTGCATAGAAATCAGGTCTAATTCATGGTGAGAGTTGGGTATTGTAACAGGTTCCTAAGCTTGCCTCAGCTGCTGAATACTTCTTCAAGATGGGGGTAGAAGGAAAAAGATTTCGTCCCACAGTAAGCATATTCTCAATGTTATGCCAGATGTTCTTGTATGTTCTTTTAGAAATGTTTGCTGCAGATCTTGCATGCTTCTGCAGCAATGTTTTTCTTTAGTTTGACTTGATATTTGCATATCAATTATCATTGTGGGAGGAACTAAACTACCATCAACTTATGCTGGGAAAGTTGTGAATTTATTGACCATCACTTGCCTAGCAAGTTTTCCTTTAAAATTACTACAAGCAGGCTAACAAACCCATACATAGTGGCTCATTTCCTCTGATCTATCACGAGATCAGGCTTGACACATGTATTAAGTTGAGACATTGAAAAATAGAAGGTCCCGTAGTTGTTTGGACTATGCGAGGGACAAGGACATTTTAACAATAGTTACAACTACAATTCAAACTTATTTTTTTTACTTGTTCTGATATTTATGGGATTAGGATGCCTTCCTGATAGTCTTAATTCTTCACTTCATGGTGCCAATTAACTATGATAGCTTTATACTTCATCTTTCTTTCTGTATGAGCGTGTGTATAATTATAAGGTGATAAAATGTATGTTGAGTTTACACTCATGTATTATTCATTGTTTATCTTGCTTCATTTTTTTCACATACTGGGTTTGGGTTCGTGGGTGGATGTTTCTGCAGGTTTTATTGTTGATGTCAACAGCATTAAATCTACCAATACCCAAAGCTCCTCCTCCTGTTGAGCCAGGAGGTACTTTGACAGCTGATGTACGGTCAAGACAACAACGCATAGCTGAAATAACAGAGATGATTCATGTAAGTCCTTTATAAAATTTTATTTTTTAAACAATGGTTAATATTACTGATAATATTAGCAATCATATAGGTGATAACTGATATCTAATGTTTGTACTTTGTTTAATAATATGACTTACAATAACTTCACACAATAAAATTCAGAGGTTAATGTGTGAAAATAGATTGTTACAATATTGCTTTGCATTTTACTCATTTTTATCTTTGGTGCACCACCTATTATGCTCCTGTGTCTATTTGGCTTAATTTTGTTGATTCTTTTCATGCTATGATGAGAATGGCTAAAAGATTGGCTGCTTTGTTTACTTTATGCTGTAGAATGTTGCAATTGATTGTATTGGATTCTTTCTCTCTCTTTTTACTTGTACTAGTACCATTGTATTTCAATGGTAGACTTGCTCATTTTTTATCTGTGATTCTTTGGCTCTTGATTGTATGAAAAATTCTTAAGGGGAGAAAAGTCATAGACATGAACTTACTCAGGTTATTAACTAGTAGTCAGAGGTTGAAGAAAGGACTCCTCCTATTCATAAATCTGAAGAAAGCATGGGATTGTGTTTATGGGTCTCTATCTGAAGAAAGGACTCCTCCTATTCATAAAATTAACAATGGATATTTGGAAAAATATTGGAGTGGCACATATTGAGTTTTGATTATAGAAACTCACTTACAATGGCTTGGGCATGGAAGGAAAAGACCAAGAGAGGCTCCAATGAGAAGATCAAAAAGGATGACTAAATAAGACTTCAAGAGGAACTATTGAAAAATTTTCACTCAAAATGTATTCATTGAATATTTGGATTTTAACAAAACCTATGATATGAATCTAATAACAAGAAGTGATCAAGGGTTGATACAACTTCAGCCTCCAAATTTTTAGTCCTAGGCATGAGTTGTGTGTTAGGATCCCAATTAGGTGGGTATAAAATTAAAGTGCCGCTATACATACTTGTATTATTATTATTATTGTTATTATTATTATCACTATTAAAAAATAATTCTGGTGTAATGTTATCTCAGGTGGCAAGCCTACTTCATGATGATGTATTAGATGACGCAGACACCAGACGTGGTATTGGTTCATTGAATTTTGTAATGGGCAATAAGGTATGTGTATAGGTTCCTTTTACTTTCATATCAAATGCCATTTGTTCATTATTGTTTGGTGATATTTTCTTGATACAAACTGTCATATTGGTTCATTGAATTTTGTAATGGGCAATAAGGTATGTGTATAGGTTCCTTTTGCTTTCATATCAAATGCCATTTGTTCATTATTGTTTGATGATATTTTCTTGATACAAACTGTCATATTGTATTGGGTGTTGCTATGTTGAGGTTTTCTTTTAATGTAGTTGGCAGTATTGGCTGGAGATTTTTTGCTTTCTCGGGCTTGTGTTGCTCTGGCCTCTTTGAAAAACACAGAGGTAAGGTAAATGGGTAATATGTTGTGTATACATGTAAAATTAAAGATGTCTGATGTATCTAATTTCTTTGATGGTACACATAATTATGTTCCTGTCATCCGCCTAACACTGCATCCCTGTAGGTTGTATCTTTATTAGCAAAAGTTGTAGAGCATCTTGTAACTGGGGAGACCATGCAAATGACTACAACATCTGATCAACAGTGTAGGTATGCTTCTGAGTCCATTTCTATTTTATATGTAAGTGTTCCCTTTTGCTAGGAAGTTGATCTTGTTTTATACAATTTGTATCTTATCATTAATTAATGTTTCTCTAGAAAATTTCACTGATTTTCCCTTGAAACAAACACATAATTATAGGTCAGTCTTAATTATTTATAATGCAGACCTAGAGGGACCTATCTATAGTTAGCTTTTTCCCTCACATTTGTTTATATTTTTCAGCATGGAATATTATATGCAAAAGACATACTACAAGACTGCATCTTTGATGTCAAATAGTTGCAAGGCAATAGCCATCCTTGCGGGGCAAACAGCAGAAGTTGCAGTGCTTGCTTTTGAGTATGGAAAAAATCTGGTTTGTATATATATACACTTTAATGTATGATGTTTTCTTTTCCAAATAATGCTTTGTATAAGAGAATTAATGGAACTAAATGTTATGGTGTATCCACCATTTCATCAGGCAACACATAATATACGTCCTGTCTGTAATATGTGTTTCTGTTTATGGATTTTTCTGGAAATTTATTTCCCTCTCCATTGTTTTGCAGGGTTTGGCATTTCAATTAATAGATGATGTGCTTGATTTCACAGGCACATCAGCTTCTCTTGGAAAGGGTTCTTTATCAGACATTCGTCACGTAAATTCATAATTTATTCTGATTTTAAATTTCTTTCAGTCTTGATTATGACTTAAAATAATTTTATGCTGCCCCCTCCACTGTGTTAACGTTATTTAAATCCTATTACGTTGTGTCTTTAATAGTTTTGCATTTTGTATTTGGCTAGATAAAGAAAATTTGGGTACCAAGTTCCTCCCTTGGTAAAAAATGAATATAGTTTTGCTTTGCACGTGAGGTTTACTGTTTAAATCTTTAACCATATTTTCTTATGATTTATAGTTTTGTTATTCGGTGATAAAAAAATGTTACCAAACAACAATTTTAAATTCTATTATGTCTTCCCCAAAAATTCCAACCAAAAAAATAAAAAAAAAATTAATAAAAGTCAAGCACAGTACTGCCAGTTCTATGAATTGAAATGTTTCATTTTATAGCTGAAAACAAATGTATTATTTATTGTGCTTTTTCTGGATTTTTTCATTATTTTGAGTTTTATTTTACACTGATATTAAATCCCGATGCTAACAACCTTTTTTGGGTGTGATGTCATTTAAAGTTTTTTTTTTTTTTTGGTGTTGTTTGCTTTGCCTTCTATTCTTCATGTGATCTGTTGTGTTTAGTTTTATACTACTCTGTGACTTGGTGTTGGTCCAAAAAATTATTGCAGGGAATTGTTACAGCGCCAATATTGTTTGCTATGGAGGAGTTCCCTCAGTTGCGTGCAATTGTTGATGATGGTTTTGAAAACCCTGCGAATGTTGATCTTGTAAGCTAATTGTGTTACTTGGTTGCCTTTCTACATAATTAATTCTTATGCCTCAATACTATATCTCTGGCTTCATTGAATCTCTCATTTAAGAGTGTTGATCTTGTAAGCTAATTGTGTTACTTGGTTGCCTTTCTACATAATTAATTCTTATGCCTCAATACTATATCTCTGGCTTCAGTGAATCTCTCATTTAAGAGGTTGCACTTGGTTCTGGTACATATAAGATTTTATTTTGATAAGACCATCGAGGGCCCCTCTGATAAAGTGATTCAGATCAGAATATAATCCCTGTGGTTTCCTACTTTTATAAATAAAATTTCAGCAGGAGATGGTAGTGACGCTGATTTCTCCCTGTTTTTTTGAAGGTGCATCTTGGATAATATATTTGATGCTTTACACCACATGAATGCTTCTCTTCATGTTTTAAATTTGCAGGATATAAAAAAATAATAGAATTCAGATATGTTGCTTGTCATGCCCAATTTCTGATTTGGCAATCCTTGAAAATTGATTTATTTTATAAAAATGGGTGTTGCTAACTAATACTCTTAAGAGCACCGGTTGATGAATCAATAAAGGGTAAGTTTTTATTAAAAATCATGTTGAAATGCACTAAAATACAGAGGGTGAGTGCAATTTTACATTTTTCAACAAAACATTCCTTAGCATTTTCCTTTAAAAATTACTCTGACTTTTTAATTAATGGATTAGTGTGTTGAAAAGTGTTTTAGCTTTTTTCTAACAGGATTTGTTTTAGTTGACTTTTTATGTGTGCATAAATGAGATTTATATTTATTTCATTTAAAACTAAACTCTTATGATCTGTCCTTTAAATTAAACATGTAGTTACCCAAAAGCCTCATCACACGAGCTCATGCATATCACATATTTTGTATTTGCAAATTTGCGTGTGCAGGCTCTGGAGTATCTAGGAAAGAGCCAAGGTATACAGAGGACAAGGGAGCTAGCAGTGAAGCATGCTAACCTTGCAGCAGCAGCAATTGATTCCCTACCCGAGAGTGAAGACGAGGAAGTAAGAAAATCAAGGAAAGCCTTAATAGATTTAACTCACAGAGTCATTACAAGAATGAAATGAAAGGAAGCTCTCACGCTCCACCCTTCCTTTTCTTTTTTCTTTTCTTTTCTTCTTTTTTGTGGGTAGCTAAAGGTAAGGTTTTCTGTCGGTAAAATCAACGGCTAACAATTGTTTTGTTACCATCAATTTTTCTATAATTGTTCCCCTAAGCCGGAAATTGCGGGGGGAAAATAAGTTGTTTCTAGGATTTATGTTTTTATTCCTTTTTCTTAATTATTTAGATTAAATTTCTTTCCATCTATTGTTTCTATAATAATGACTAAGTTTTACCATTGTGCCTCCATGATATTCGGAGTTTTGAACAAAATATAAAATGTTTTATTAAAAAATTTAATATTTTTCTAACACAAGATTTCTCAAGTTTATGTGAATATTTTTATCATTTGGTTCAAAACATTCAAACATAATTAATAATTACACATAAATTGAATAAATGAAACAAAGACAATATTTTGACGTATTAAATGACTTTGTTTTTTGCATTTTATGATGAATTTGGATATCATGTTGTGAAGCAACATTATGTGATCATATTGAAAAGATAGTCTCATAATCTTTAACAAATTGATGATTTTTCATAACTGATTATAAGGTTGATGAATTAAATGTGATAATTGTAATAAATTTATTGCTAATATAATTGTATTATGTTACTTAATAATATAAATGGATTTAAATTCGTTCAATTTTGATTATATATATTTGATATTTAAATTTAATTACACTTTTAGTCCTCATAGTTTAGCTAACGGTGGTTTTAGTATTTTTAATTTTTTTTGCTGAATAGTTTTTTTAATTATAATTGTTTATATTTACTCACTTTAAATTTTCAATTATTCAAATCTAGCTTTTTATCATAAATTTTATCCAATAATTAATAAGATTATAATAAATATATAATATATTATTTATTTATTCAAATTAACAAAGAAAATGTATATTAAATAATAAAGTAATTTTAAAAAAGGCTTTTATTATATTTTAAATATTTTATTAAATTTTTTATTATTTATACAAATCAATAATATGTCATACTTTTAATATATATATATATATATTGTTAAGAATTAGATGAAATTTTGAAAAAGAGACTTCATTTAAATAATAGGAAAATTATAGGGATTAAGTATGAACAATAAAAATTAGGAAAGTATAATCATGCATAAATTAAAGTATAAAAATTAAAAGTGTAATTAAATTTAATATTTATTAAATATTGTTTATTGATTTCAAGGCAATATTGACTATGGTGACATGTTAAACTAGGGATCTTCATGGTTCAATATTTTGAGGAATATATATATATCAGATAACTCCAAAGTGGATTAAAAGAAAATAAAATAGACTGAAAGAAAAATAGGCAGTAGCAGAACTACTAAATAAAATGCAGAATGTACAAAATATAAATATGTAAATTTAAAACATAAAAACTAGAACGGCGGTAGAACCAGCACAAATCTAGTAGAGGGAGAAGAGAAGAAAGCCGGACGACGGTAGTCCGAACAGAATCGGCTAAGAGGGAGAAGAGAGGAAAATAATCTGAAACAGCAAACTTTTATTAAAAATCTTAAAGAGAAAAGGCTTACAAGGAATATCTCACTCTGAACTTCTCTCTTTAAACTTGTAAAATGAAAGGGTGCCTCACATTATGGTCGAGAACTCCTTTTAAAGAGAAAAATAACTATTGTTTCTACAGTTCTGGTTGATTACTGGAACTATTAACTACAGTACAAGTTATAGTTCTTCAATATCAATACCGAAGCAGTCGTCTTCATTTTGATATATGTCATTTGCATTGGTATCTTGTTTTGTGGATGATTCACCTTCATCTTGACTTTGTAAGAGAAGAAGAACATCTTGTAAATTTTTTTTCATTTTTTCTTTTGAATCACAACTTGATAAATAAGTTGCAATCTTTGATTTTTGATTCAGAAATTGGAATGTTGCAGGATCTACCAAATTTAATAATTTTGGATTTTTTCTAAAATATTCAGCAACCCCAGATAGTCCAGCATGGTCAGCATTGAATTGATTCCACCATTTCACAAAGGAGTATCTGTGAAGTATAGGAAGCCTTCATTTTCTGTTTTGCCATACCTATATTGCCACGAGAATACCCATGCTAAAGCAAAATCAGAGAAATACTTGAGATCTGCAAGAATTCTTGATTCTCGCAGATATCTGCCTTTGTAGATCTTATATCCTTCTTTAATTGGTGTAGGAAGAATATCTTCAATTGGTCCAAAATAGTTCCACCATTGGAGAAACTAATTTGGAAAATCATAACTCTGATTCCTTTTAAAATATATTAACCAAGAATGTCGGTTAAGTTTGTTTTAGAACCAGAAACTTCTTGTCCAGGCATCGATATAATCCCAATAATTATATCCTACTGGGTCAAAAGGTTGAGAAATTTTTTTGTAAGAATTTAAGTTTTTAGCAAAAGTTTTGGGTGTTAAAACTTTTAGGATCTGGATTGTAAAATGTGTTATGATGGAAGGATCTTTTTTATCTTTGTAATATTTGATAGAAATAGAGTCTGAATCCACCAAAATGAATTCGTAAAATTGCCTGGTTTTATTCGCAACATATGGTCTAAAATGAAAACTAGGTGGAAAGACTTTAGAAATGGCTTTGTAGGGATTTTTATCCCAGAATTTAGGCTCCATTTGTATGACTGAAGAAAATTTTCCTTTTGCCATATAGTGGTTTGTGCTTGAAGATTTCTGTTTATCTTTCTGAAGGTTAAGGGTATTTTCAGTTTTGTTAGGACAGCTAACTGTTTTTTGGGATTGGTTAAAGGACTGGATTATAGTGTTTAGGCTAGCTAAATTTATCTCCATATCTTCTTCAGAGGCAATATCTGTCCACGATTTCTTTGGTAAGTTACTCAATCTTCCTTGTTGGACAGCTAAGAGAGTGCTGATCGGTAAAGCATAATTTGTTTTAGTCTGTTTGGTCGTTTTGATAGAAGAATCAGTCTTTTTAGAAGATTTTTTTGGAGTTTCAGATTGCTGGGTTGATAACTCAACAATTTGGATTGCCTTTTGAGTTGATGACTCAATAGGGGTAGATGACCTAGAGGATAAAGATTTTGAATCTGTTGAAGCATATTTTGGTTTTGATTTGTTTAGAGTCAGGGCAAGCCTCACTCTTTCTCCTCGAGAAGTTCCTCCCCTAGTTGGGGTTGTTGCCTTTTTAGGCATGCTATTTATCCTGTAAATATTCCCGAGTGAGATAATCAAGGAGAGAATTTGAGGTGCCTTTAATATATTCAATTTCAAAATCAAAAACACTTAAAATTGCTTGCCATCTAGCAAAAATTTGTTTTGAGGCAAGGTTTTTCACATCTTTTTGTAAAATTTCTTTGGCAGACTTGCAATTTACTCTAATAAAAAAAATTAGTTTAATAAATCTAATTAAAATTTTGAAATGCACAAAATAATTGATAAAACTTCCTTTTTAACAGTGGAGTAATTCTGTTGTGCAGAATTTTAATGTTTTGAAGTATATGCAATAATATGCTCATGTGACTCAATTCTTTGTTTGAGAATGCCACCATAACCTATGTCAGAGGCATTAATTTCAACAATTTTGAAGGCTTGAGGAATAGGGAGATAATGACAACTTATCTCTCTGACTCTATTTTTAATATCCCTGACGACATTAGTATGAACATCAGTCCACGAAGGAGAGTTCTTTTTAAGCCTATCATGTAAAGGCTTAACAATATTATTAAGGTGTGGAATAAAATCATCTACATAATTAAGACATCCTAAAAACCTTTGTAGCTGAGTTTTATCAAGGATTCTGTCAAGAAATTTGTCAGCAAATTCAATAGATCTGCTGATAGGAATGATAGTTCCTTGATGAATATTGTGACCAAGGAACCTAATATTGGTTTGAAAAAGATTAATTTTAGACTTGGAAATAGCAAGTCTATTTTGTTTGATAACATTGATAAAAACATTTATATTTTTAAAATGTTGATCAATAGAATGAGAAAAGATTAAAACATCATCAATGTAGACAATGACAAATTTTGAATAAGGATTAAAAATATCATTCATAATCTTCTGAACTCAGAAGGGACATTTTTTAAGCCAAAGGACATAACATTCCATTCATAATGCCCAAAGGGGACAGTGAAGGCGGTCTTATATCTAATCACTTTCACAAATTTGGATTTGCCAAAATCCAGATTTCATGTCAAATTTTGAAAAGATCTTAGCAGAATTTAATCTATTAAGAAGATCTTTTTTGTTGGGAATAGGATACCTAATCCATTGGAGGGCTTGGTTAAGAGGTTTGTAGTTGATAACTAATCTGGGAGTACCTCTTTCTAATTCTGCAGGTTTATTGACATAAAAAGCAGAACCGACCAAGGACTCTTACTTTTTCTAATGAGTTTTTTATCCAAGAAATCTTTGACTTATTTCTGACAATATTAAAGGAGTTCTTCATTCATTTGAATGGGTCTAGCCTTGGTAGGGATTTGGCTATCCTTAAAATATGACTCATAAGGAAGACTAACAATATGTTTCTTCCTGTTTCAGAAGGCATTGGAAAGATCAGAACAGATGAAACAATGAATAGATCCTAAAAGGGATTGGATTTTTTTTCTGAAGTGAAGGATTCTATAATTGTTTCTCAATGTTGGTAAAAGAAACTTCTTCTTTCAGGAAATTAATTTGATTAATTTTACCTTGAATAGTATTGATATTTTTAGTAAAAGGTTTATTAGAAAATTTGAAGGTTATTTGCTTACCTAAATGATAAGTGGAGATACCTTCTTTCGAAATCTGTAATGGGAAAAGGGCTTTAATAAAAGGTGTTCCCAAAATCACTTTATTTTTTAAATTTTTTACAAGGAGAAAGTTTGTTTCGATTTTAAATCTTTGATTTTCTATAACAGCTTTGGATAATTTGTAATTAATTTTAAGCTTCGAACCACTAGCAGTGCTGATTTTTTCAGAGGTTTTTTTAAAATATTTTGTATGAACTAATCCTTCTAAAATATAGTTTGAATCAACACCCGTATCAAAGAGTGCTAAAGTATCAAGAACAAAATCGTTAATAATGATTCTAATGTTAATGTAAAATTTTTGAATTTTGACCTTATTGATCAAACACATAAAAGTTTCTTCTAGATTTTCAGAATTAACTTTCTCAGAATCATTATTCTCACGAGGTTTCTCTTTCTCAATTTCAGATTCATCATCATCTTCAAGTTGGGAAAAAATAACCTGATGAATTTGTTGTTGTTCTTTGATATCTCTAAA